AGACGTTCTGTTTAGGGCTGGGCATTCTGCAGGGATCCTTTGAGCCCCGGGAATGGGTGCAGTATAGACGTTCTGTTTAGGGCTGGGCATTCTGCAGGGATCCTTTGAGCCCCGGGAATGGGTGCAGTATAGACGTTCTGTTTAGGGCTGGGCATTCTGCAGGGATCCTTTGAGCCCCGGGAATGGGTGCAGTATAGACGTTCTGTTTAGGGCTGGGCATTCTGCAGGGATCCTTTGAGCCCCGGGAATGGGTGCAGTATAGACGTTCTGTTTAGGGCTGGGCATTCTGCAGTGTTTTGTTCTTTGCTCTTTGGCAGTTGTGGGACTCTGTTAGCCACCATTTACTGCAGACATGAACTTCTCTAATAAGGGTTGAGATTCATTAATCTATGGATATAACAATAAGTCATTAAAGTCAGTTTACTACTGTGTTCATTTAGTACACTAATAGTCGCTGGTTCTCCTCCACTGCCCGTGACCTATCTAGCCACAGGCTTTTGACCCAACAATATTCCTGGGTATGGGTTTCCTCTGTTGGTATAGGACTTAAATCCAATCAGGAAGTGTTTGACTACCTCCATGATGTTTGAGGTATCACTACAGTTACACTACTTGGCATGACAGTTTTATTTATTTGTCTATTTACTTGTTTTTGTTTTTTTGAGACAGGGTCTCCTGTAGCCAGCCTGGCTTCACACTTTAGGATGCTGAGGATGGAGAATGACCTTGAACTCCTGATTGTACTGTATTTACTTACTGAATGCTGGGATTGTAGATATGTTGCCTGGCTTACCCAGTGTTGGGGGTAGAACCTGGGGTTTCCTACGTGCTACACAAGCCCTTTACCAACTAAACTGTGCCTCCAAATCCCCAGCCACTCACTAGTCTTTCTCTGATAGAGGTCCCTCCATCCCTCCTTCCCTCCCTCCCTCTGTGTCACTCACTCTAGCTGGCCTGAAACTAGACCAGACTGACCTAGAACTCAGAAATCTGCCTGCCCCAGCCTCTGCCTCCTGAGTACCAGGATAAAGACTTTGAGCCATCAAGTCCGGCTTGATAGAGATATTTCAAATAGAATTTAGAATAGCACCCATGATTGAGGTCAAATAACATATGACCTTTGATTTTAACCCATCCCTTTCCCAGTTATAAACTTGTAATTTTACTGAGAATCTCACAAAAGGGATCACTAACCTTGGGACCAGGCAGGTGACTCTTACAGAAGACCCAAGTTTAATTTCCCGCACCCATATCAGGTAGTTCATGGCTGCCTATAATTCTGGTTCCAGGGAGAACTTCTACCTCTGGCCTTGTGGGTGCATGTATTCACCTGTACACATACTTAATTAAAAATTTTTTTTTCCGAAGACAGGGTTTCTCTGTATTGTTTTGGAGGCTGTCCTGGAACTTGCTCTGTAGACCAGGCTGGCCTTGAACTCACAAAAATCTGCCTGCCTCTGCCTCCCGAGTGCTGGGATTAAAGGCATGAGCCACCACTGCCTGGCAAAAATAAATCTTTTAAAGAAAGAAAAGATTATTTGTTTATATTCAAAGCAAGTCTTAACTCCCTTGAGACTCAGTACAGTAAGTCTCAGTACTACCCTTTGATGTAAGTTTTGTCTTGCCAGCCTACAGTTCTGCCCATTGTTCCTCAGAGCTACTCTAATCTTTGCCTCCATTCCAAAGTTCCCAGAAACACCCTTTGAACAGTGTGATTTTAAGACTGGAGAGATGGCACCGTGGTTAAGAAGAGCACTGGCTGCTCTTCCAGAGGTCCTGAGTTCAATTCCCAGCAACCACATGGTGGCTCACAGCCATCCATAATGAGATCTGGCGCCCTCTTCTGGCTTGTAAGGATACATGCAGACAGAACACTGTATACATAATAAATAAATAAATCTTAAAAAAAAAAAAAGCACTGGCTGCCCTTCCAGAGGACCCCATTTGGTTCCCAGCACCCACATGGCAGCTCACAATTGTCTGTAACTCCAGTTCCAGAGGATTCCATGTCCTTTTGTGTCATCAGGCAGCAGACATGCTCTTGGTGCACACACAAACTTACAGGCAAAGCACGAATACACATAAAAAAATCAATAAGGGATTGGAGAGATGGCTCGGAAGTTGAGAGCTCTGGCTGTTCTTTCAGAGGTCCTGAGTTCAATTCCCAGCAACCACGTGGTGACTCACAGCCATCCATAATGAGATCTGATGCCCTCTTCTGGTGTGCAGGCATATATGTAGACAGAACCCTGTACACATAATAAAATAAATCTTTTAGAAAATACACAAAATAACCCTCCTGTAAAGACCAGGTAGAAATATTTTATTAGACTTTAGGCCAGGAGGCAAGCCCCAAAGCATTAATTAGATACTTAGGTAATAAAAGAGAAAACAAACCTCAACAAAGCTTATATTGAGAACATTAAAAGTCCCTAATCATTGAGTGAGCAGTGGTTTTTTTGTTGTATGTTTTGAGGCAGGGTCTTGGTATCTTCGGCTGGCCTGGAAATTGCTACAGAGACCAGGTTATCTGGTCTTGAACTCACAAAAATCTGCCAGCCTCTGTCTCTCTTGCTGAAATTGAACGCACGTACCACCGTGTCCGGTTTAGAACACAATAATAGTTTTGGTTGTGAGATTGGTCTTTAACAGCTGAGCCATCTCTCCTGCCCAGAACACAGTTTTCAGCTAGGAGTCTTTTGCTGAGAGTGGGCTCAAGTGTGGTGACTGATGAAAACAGTAGCTGGACTCGACTCACCGTGAAGCCAGAGCTGCCTGCCTCGTAAGTGCCGAGACTCAGGTGTGTGCCATCGTTCCTGGCGCACAGGGCTACCAGTAAAAGTCGCCTTGGTGGGGCTACGGGTGGAATGCGTATTTCCATGTACAAGACCCTGGGGCATCAATCTGGGCACCACAAAATAAAAGCAAACATTTGTTTTTTTGGAATATAAGCAGCAGACAGATGTCGACCAGTCCCAGTCTGTCCACTCATTCTGGTCTTAACTGTTTGTTTTACTGTCCTAATGAACTTTTTGTGACTTCTGAGGTGGTGCACTTGTTGTTTCCATAGCTACCTGCTCTTGTGTGGTAGTTCTTAAAATGCTTGCCCTGGTGCCTCCCGCTGTCTGCTCTGTACCTTTCTCTTCCCTGCTGACCCACATGCGCAGTGTTGATTAGTGGATTAGTGTTAGCACCATGCTAATTACCTTCTTAGTCATGCCTGTCTCCCTGGGAGGGGCCCCCTGGAATAAAAAAGCAAGGGACACACACACACACACACACACACACACACACACACACACACACACACACACACACACACACACACCACACCACCCATCCACCCTGTTAAGGGACACACACACTCTCACTCTCTCTGTCTCTCTGTCTCTCTGTCTCTCTGTCTCTCTGTCTGTCTCTGTCTCTCTCTGTGTCTCTGTGTCTCTGTCTCTGTCTCTGTCTCTCTCTCTCTCTCTCTCTCTCTCTCTCTCTCTCTCTCTCTCTCTCTCTCTCTCTCTCTCTCTCTCTCTCTCTCTCTCTCTCTCTCTCTCTCATACACACACACACCTGTTCTGAGGGTCAGTGTTACCTGGTTTCTTTCTGTAAAGGAGCCTGAGAGTGACTGTTGTGGGTTTTAAAGAGGTCGCGGCAGGCCAGCTGGTTGGTGACAGGTACTGAGTCACGGAGTGTGTGGGACTGCACGCCCACTCTTCCGTGCTTTCTGAGTTTTCAACACACAGGTGAATAATTGAAACACAGAATAGTCTGCAGTAACAAGTTTTTGGAACCAGGAAGGTTAAACTTTATTTGTCATAGGTCAATGAAGCAAAACCTTATGAAATTGTCCCCCTTTTATGGACAAAGAGCCATTGACTGTGTTAGCCTTTTGATTCGGTTCTACCTGGAATTAATAAAATGGTGACTGCACATCTTCATAGGATGGTTCACTTAATGAATTTCCAGCTTTATGATGACACAAAAGATACCCACACAATTGTTCCCAAGAAGTTTTCACTTGCAGTGTATAGAATTGATTAGATTATATAAAATAGCCACTTTTGGGTTAGGTGTTAGTGGTGTTTAATGGGGCTGTGTAGGTGCTCTGAACACATTAAGGGGGAGGTTAGTGGGTTAAGTGCATTTTGACTTAATTTATGATAGTTTCATTGGGGACTTGATTTACCATAGAGCTAGGAACATCTGCATTTTGTTATATTCACTCACTTATGTATATATACACACACATATGTGTATATATATTCATACTAATTAGTTAAATAGCCATTCCTATTTGCAAGTCATTCTGAAGTATTCAATCGTAGGGGCTTTTGTTTTGTTTTGTTTTGATTTTTGAGACGGGATTTCTCTGTGTAGCCCTGGATGTCCAGGAACTCACTCTGTAAACTAGTCTGGCCTCAAACTCTGAGGTCTGCCTGCTGCTGCTGGGATTAAAGGTGTGTGCCCCCGCTGCCTGGCTGCAAGAATCTTTTATCAATAACAAATTTAACTTCTCCTTTCTCAATAAGGAAGTTTAACTGTGAGGCAATTAAAACAAACTTGTTTTGTTGCAAGTTGGTGACTTAAATTGAAGAGTCTGCTGGCCTACGCAGCTGTAGACTGAGCACCCTTCTCCTGGGCACACCTACAAATGCACCTGTCTCATTTGCAAGGTCTTGCTGCTGTGGGCAGTGGTGATACAGCGTGGTGGAGCAGGCTTGGCCTTGTCCTGCCACCAGGACCAGAGGGCCCTCTGTCCTGAGAGCCGTAGTCCTGCAAAGTCTGCCTTCTGTTTGTTTGTCTCTGGCACCTCAAGTTACAGGATGATTGCAGAGTGGGATGGACATGGACGCAGGCTGCCTGTGGGCTTCTGCTCTGAGCAGTGGAGGGGCGCAGGCTGCTTCATGTGTGTCTGCTTTGCCTGCAGTCTTCTTGACTCGGCCGACAGCTTCTGGGTGCTGTTGCTCTTCAAGCTTTCTAAAAGCTGTAAACAGCTCCAGCGAGCTTTGCAGAAGGAAGCTGTGGTTTCTGGTCTTCCTGTGCACTCGCGTTTTTAGAGGACTGCTTAGCATCGGATCACATTTTTCAGCAGCTCAGAAGGGCTAGAAGACACAGCAAGTGTGGCAGAAAGGGAGGAACAGGATTCCTCCAAGGGAACTTCTCTGACCAAGTGCCCCGGGAGATCTCCCATGGAGAACGAGGTAGGTTCATGCCCGGGGTAGAGAAGATCGTCCTTGTAGGGACTGATGTCCGTGCGGCTTCCAGGGTGTGCTTGCACACTGGGACCCTGGCCCACTCTAGGATGCTGGGTGGAGCTTACTCAGCAGCTTCCCAGGCTGAGACTGGGTGCTGGATGGAGGAGCGTGGAGGCGAGGACTGGGCCTGCGTGCGTTCAAGGAGCTGCTCTGTCTCGCTGAGGCACTCACTGTTGCACTCTTACGGAATGAGAGGCCATGGGATTTGTCTTTCAGGGAAAGTATTTTCTTGTGGACTTGTAGTCCATTGAGTTCTAAGATCAAAGCTGAAAAATGGTGGGGAAAGGATGAGAAACTGAGGGAGCTCAGATCTGGGACTTTATCCATGAGCGCATAACAGGACAAGGCTGCCAGCGTGGACCCTGGCCTAGCCCCAGCCTAGCCCTCTGGGCATTGAGACTCTGTGGACTTTCCAGTGGAGCAAAAAGGTAGAGTAGGTGGAGGCTCCGTTTGGTTCCACTCCTCTTGAGCTTGGAAGCCCTGAGGCAGGGATGTATGCCTGGCTCACGTGTCTTGTCCTTTCCCATTGGAGGGGCGGGAGCACTTCTTCCCTTTCTCCCTCCTTCCCCTTCTCCCTCCTTCCCCATTTCTACCTTTCCCTCTCTCAGGGCTCACATATCCCGGGCTGGACTTGGTTGATGATGACCTTGAACTTCTGATCTTCCTGTCTCTGTCTCCGTAGTGCTGTGATGGTAGGCCTGTGCCACCTCATCTGAGTTTTATGAGGTATTGGGATTTTGAAGCTGGTTGCCGTCAGTGAGGCAGACAGCAGGGTCAGCAGAAGGACCTCCTTGTTTTGTTGGTGTTGCGTTTTGTTTTGTTTTTTGCGGCAAGGTCTCACTGTGCAGCCCTGGCTGGCCTGAAACTCACAGAGATCTCTGCCTCTGCCTCCCGAGTGCTGGGATTAAAGGTGTGCGCCACCATGCCTGCCCCAGCTAGGGATTCTTTGTTAGAGTTCATACAAGTTGCAGCCTGGACAGGATGTGATGTGTGACTAGCTCCTGCTGCTCGCCCGTCCTGTCCACAGGCCTCTTCTCAGACCCTCACATTGACCTCTGAGCGTCTTCCGGCCCCTCACCCCCAGCCTGCTCTGACTGTCTCTGTGGGATTGCTGTCTGTCCTCCTGTTAGATTGGGGGAGGGGACAGTGCCTTCACTTTCACTGTTAGAGCCACTGTGTGTGGTGGGTGGCAAGCGTGCATAGGACCTTTGACTTTGAGTGCGTGTGACAAGTGCGTGTGAGACCGTTGGCACCCTTTGTACCTCAGTTTGCTCTGTTCTCCTGTCTTGGTCTTGCCAGCACTTTCTGCAGAATAGTGTGGTGCCATTAGGGCTTTGTGTGGAGAATCCAGGTAGTATTATTTACTTTGGCCCAGGAGTCTAGAGGTACTGGCTCTTTTCTTGGATATGTGTTTATATATGTGTGTGTCTGTGCCCATGCCACAGTGCATGTGGAGGGCAGAGTCACTACGTGAAAAGACCAGAGTGAGTTAGTTTCAGAGATTTGTGTAGTTTTAAGATAGGATCTCCCTATGTACCCCAGGCTGGCATCAAACTCAAAATCCGCCTGCTTCCAAGTGCCATTGTCACAGGGTGTACCAACCTCATGGGGTGTGTTACCATAGTTCTCTGGATAGTTGTGATGGCTGTGTTGTGGTGGTGGTTTTTAGGGTTCTAACCACATCCCCAGCCATGCATCTTCCTTCTGTGACACTAGAGGTTAAAGCAGGGCTTCATGCAGTGTCAATAGACTTTTCTCCTGGGCTGAAGTTCTAGTGTAGTAAGAGATGGACACTGTACATTATTGTCTAGCGATTGTAACACTGTCCTGTAGTCAACCTATTTTAAACCTATGAACTGTTAATTCCTGGAGTTCTCCTTCTAATACTTAACAATTACAGTTGACTGTGGGTAACTGATGTCTGGGAAAGTGAGGCCAAGGGTAATGGGGGTTATTGCAATCCGCAGTGTCTGTGCTTGGTTAGATCTGAAGGCCAATTCCAACAGGCACTGGAGTGCCTCCACGTGACTCAGGCTTGGAATTTGGGAATTGCACTGTCTTTGGCTAGCCGTGAGTGGGCTAAGGGTGACATTGCTTCTGTTCAGCTTTTCTTGTTCCTTGCTGCTTAGGGTGGCCCCCAAACGGGTGGCTTAACATTACAATAGGCCTTCAGCTGCTGCCTGTTTTTACTGTGAGTTCAGTTGTACTTACTCTGCTCTTGAAGCTTTTTCTGCTTCACTATAGCCCTCTTGAGGGCAGGGACTATTTCATCCACAGCCTTCCTGGATTCCTGGTCTGGTAGGCACACAAAATAAAGGGTATGCATTGGGATTTATTACTTGTTGTAGCCTGTTCGGGCAATATACAAACTACATCCTGGATGCTGGAGGTCACACAAGCTTCCAAAGGCAGAGCTGGGTATATGATTCAGTGGTAGGGCACTTGGCTGGGCGTGCGTAGCTGGAAAGAATGGACTCTCAGACCATGAGAGGCGTATGCAGCAGCACCAGGGACTGGCCTGGGTTTTTGCCTTGTAGAGTTCTAGCCAATGTCACCTCATTGCAGTCTTTTGGGCTAGGATTCAAGACACACCCAGGGCCCTTGCCAACACAGACAGTTTTTATGAGCTGTGTGTCACTGTTACAGTAACAGTATAAATGGCCTGTGGGGTGTGGGCCTGTTGATTTGGTGAGAGCTTCTTGGGTAGAGGTTGATATTGGCAAACTTCTGGTTTCACAGTTGGTTTCCTGTTGCTTCCGTGTATAAGTTAGTAATGTGCTGGACTAACAGACAACTTCTGGAAAGGGCAGATTGACAGAGCTGCGCTGCTGGCCTACTGAGCCAGCCTTCAGTCACTGTCCGCTGCGAGGAACTGTTGTTGAGGCAGGCAGCTCCACCAGGGGGAGTGGGTGGGGGTAGGCACTGTCTTCTGACTAGAGTGAGTTCTGTGGTGAGTACTGTGGCTGTGGGGATAGCGCTTCTGGAGGGTCAGGTCCATAGACCATGAGCACAGGGATGTTCAAGAACTCAGGAAAGCCGGGCAGTGGTGGCACACGCCTGTATCCTAGCACTTCGGGAGGTGGAGGCAGGCAGATCTCTGTGAGTTCCAGACCAGCCTGGTCTACAAAGAGTTCCAGGACAGCCTCCAAACCTACAGAGAAACCTTGTCTTTAAAAAACAAAAACAAAAAAGCCTAAGGAAAAAGAAGTGATCAAGTGTACACATTTGGCATAATTTGGTATTTGAGTACCATCCGGTCAAAGGCGGTGCCACAGTGATGAAATCACAGCTGTCTTCACTGGGGTGACAAAACATGATTTTTTAATTTATTTTTTATTCTTTTGGTTTTTCGAGACAGGGTTTCTCTGTCGCTTTGGAGGCTGTCCTGGAACTAGCTCTTGTAGACCAGGCTGGTCTCGAACTCACAGAGATCCGCCTGCCTCTGCCTCCTTACTGCTGGGATTAAAGGCGTTCACCACCAACACCCGGCAAAACATGATCTTTACATTGCTTAAGTATGTCACTAAATTTGGGGTCAGTTCTAGCCTGCAGTTCGCCGTCGGGGTGTCTGGTAAGTCTCAAGTGACATTTTCCACTGTTCTCCTAAATGAACCCTACATTGGGGTTATCTTATCCACTGCCCTGTCTGTCTGTCTGTCTGTCTGTCTGTCTGTCTGTCTGTCTGTCTGTCTGTCCAGCACTCATCTAAACTCACCCTGGGCTGAAAGAGAGCGGTGGGAGCCTGAGGACAGTGAGCCTGGATGGCTGACAGCGGCCTTCACTTACCTCAGCTTGGGGACCTGGCGGACCTGTCCTCCACAGCTGGCTCTTTAAAGCGCCCTGTCCTTCCTGCTGTTTTCATCTTCTGCAGGTCTTGACTCTCATGACCTCTTGTGTTTGGTCTTGTCATAGTTTAGGTGTGGTCAGAGATCGGTGTCAGTTATTCGTCCTTCTCCAGTATGTACTGTTATGCAAATATACATTCTTAAAAATGGAGGCGCTAGGGATGTAGCTCACATGGACAGCACCTGCCCAGCACGCACAAAGCCCTGGGTTCTGTTCTTTGTACGGCAAAAAACAGGCCTCGTGGTGCAAACCTGTAATCCTGGCACTAGCACTTGGGAGCTGGAGACAGGACTGCAAGTCCTTTTAAGCTATACAGTGAGTTTGAAGCCAGCCTGAGCTACATGAGACCCTGTCTCCAAAAAGTAACTGATGCTCCTGTGCTCACCACCCAGCTCCAACTGTTGTTCCCAGCACCTTGTTTCACCCTTCTCCATACTGGCAAGTGCCAAAAGCTGCCCGTGTGCATGCGTGCGTGCGTGCATGCGTGTGCTGATCAATGACAGACTATTTGCAGTTTAGGGAGATGCAGGGTGATAGCATCAGCTCACACGAATGGAAGTGTTTACAGGGCTCTGGGCCAGAGTCTTGTCCTACCTAGGGTGCATGGGTGCAGCGGTGCAGACGCTGGCCCCACTTGATCATTCAGTCTGGTCACAGTGAGTAGAAGGCACTCTGAAACTGTGATGCTGGGCTATAAGGACGTTTGACGAGGAGACGATTGTCAAGTGAAAGTTACAGAAGTAGCTGCTGACTCCGTCTCGCTTACTTACAGTGTGTGAGACCCTTGCTCAGAGCTCCCTGTAGCTTGCTCACGAGCTGCTCAGGGTGCCTTGCAAAGATCCTGGCTCACTTTAGAGACAGCAGAGCTCGGCTGACTGTCTTGGGTGGGAAGCAGGGTGGCTCAGACTACATCAGAGCAGGTGACCTTGAGCCTGCAGAGTTGTGTGGTGAACCCTGAGTCCTCAGTTGGAGGGGAGCTGTGCAGAGAGCAGCAGGCGGAGCTCCAGCACCAAGACTGTCTTGACTGTCGAATGGGCTTCCTGGGTCTGTGTCGGCTTCAGTGGATCGGTGGAATAAAACCCAGATGTCAAAGGGCCAAGGTTATGAAGCCAAGGGGCAAGGAAGCTGTCCATAGCAGGAGGCAGCAGGCTCAGGAAAGGTGTCACCGTGGCTTCCCGAGTCTCGATGAGTCTTGTTTGTTTGCTGGGTTCTTGCCTAGTGCTAGAGAGCTGGGCCTGAGAGTGAGGCCGGGGAGCAGCAGGGTCTCCTGGAGCCTGAGAGTGAGGCTGGGGAGCAGCAGGGTCTCCTGGAGCCTGAGAGTGAGGCTGGGGAGCAGCAGGGTCTCCTGGAGCCTTGGGCCACGTGAGTCCTGTTGATAATTTAGTCTGCACATTTGTTTGTGGGATAAGTTTGGGGGATAAGGGGAGGTCAGAGCTCAGTGCTATACTTTCCCAGCTGCTGCCTGGATCCAGCCATGCGGGGTGAACTCAGAAGTGTTGTGGATACCTCCCTGAGCTGTCTATTGCATTAGAGAGAAAACAGCTGGAACATTGCACTGCTCATGGCTTTGGTCTCTGTGACCTGTTGCTGCAGAGGACACACTTAAGTGTCTTGGTTTCTGTGTTGGTTTCCCTTAGTGATGAAGTGGCTGTCAGTGCCATCTTTCCACACAGCCGGGGACAGCTTCTGTTGTGGTCGTGGTAGGAGGTCTGGGTTTGCTTCCCCTCTCCCTAGCTCACAGGTTCAGCTGGATTACATGTGGGTTGAGGCTGTGAGTGTTGGGGCAGCTTAGAGCCCTCGCAGAAGTAAGGGCTGCATGAGAACCTGGTCTGTCGGGGCGTGAGCTTAGTAGCATTCACGTGTCCTTGGCTGCTGAGATGTCATTGTAGGTGACAGCCCCTGTGTCACTTGCTGTCTCAGGGCTGTGATGGCATGGCCTCACAGAGCTGGGAGGAGTTGGAGCTCTGCTGTGTTACTGTCTTCTGGGGGATTGTTCCCTGCCTGTCTTCATGCCAGTAAGAGTTGCTGTTGAGTGTTACAGGAGCCACTAAGAGGCCTGCGTGTCCTCCATGCCGAGTCTGCTCGGACACTGCTCTAGCATGGCATTTGAGCCGACTAGAGCCATGCCTCAGCCTCGAATGTCCTTTCTCACAGGCTGGTATGGTCAGTCGCCATTTTCATGGTGACTGTGCTAATCGTTTTGGCCACTTCTGTTTGTTAGTAGGTACAACACAAACGTGTGAATAATGAACTCCAATCATTGACATTTCTACCTGCAGCCTGGAATTGTGTCGCCATTTAAACGAGTGTTCCTAAAAGGTGAAAAGAGTAGAGATAAGAAGGCCCACGAGAAGGTGACAGAGAGGCGCCCCCTGCACACTGTGGTGTTGGCATTGCCTGAGCGTGTCGAGCCGGACAGACTGCTGAGCGACTATATTGAAAAGGAGGTGAAGGTAAGTCATCTGGGCCACTGGGCACTCCTGCCCAACAGCTCATTGCCAGCCCCACACAAGCAAGTTAGTCTGTGTCCTACCCACTGTCTTGTCTCTGCATAGTAACTGGAAAACTCCAAACCCAGCCTGTTCTTGACTCTAGTCTCTGGCCCTTTGTGGTGGTGTGTCACTCTGTCTCTTGAAGGCCATACCAGAAGAGGCTTGTAGAGCAGCGAAATCATGTCTCCCCAATGTGCAGGTGACGACACCAGCTTGTTCCAGACCCTGGAGCCGTCCCATGCTCGGGGTCCAACATCGAACACCTCAAAGAAACCGGGCAAGCTGTGTGGCAGCCCCTAAATGAAAATGAATTAAGAAAAGTATGCAAAGCCTTAAGTTCAGAGAGAACAGGGAAGGTGGCAGCTGTGGAAGAACATAAATGAAAAGAAGGAAGCCAGGGAAGATGAGGTGATCTGGTTAGTGAGCCCAGCTGCTTTGGGTCCCTAAGGAGGACAGAGTCCAGTGGCTCGGGGGGCGCCCAGGCGACTGAATATCCAGGGATGGATTAGTCTGCAGCCTCCACACTGGGGGGTGGGGCACTGGATATACTGATACCTGGCACAGGCAGCAGAAGGTGGGGAACGCTAAGGTAGGCCTGTTAGGGACGTGCGGCTCCACAACCCCTTTCTTGTTCAGGCCTCTCCACAAACAGCGTGCAGTCAGGTGTAGCTTCTGATGGGGAGGCTGAGGAGTTCCATACTACCCTGGGAATTACCACCCACTCAGCTTGAGTAAAGCCCAGCCGATAGAAAGTCGAGGCTCACACCTTCAGTCAGCTTTTCAGGGCCTCGTTTTAAGCACAGGCAGCAGAGGATAAATACACATTTGAGGCAAACTTTTAACCAAAAGATTGAGCGCAAAAGAATAAACACGAATAAAACAACTGTGGCTCCGAAAGTAAGAGCACCTGTGGGCTTGACAGTGGATCATATTCTGAGAAAAGCATTGTTGGATAGCTTCATTGTTATAAAAAATCACAGTGTTGGAACCTACAAGTACATGGGTGCATTAGTCACTCACTGTGTTCTTGATTTTACGACAAAATGGGGGCTGCTGTTGGCTGCTGGTGAACTAATAACAAACTGGGTTTTGGTTTGCTCTAGAATGTTTCATTGGATTGATTAACTTTATATGTATGGGTGTTTTATTTGCATGTCTATGCACCACGTGCATGTAGTACCCTTAGAGGCCAGAAGAGGGTGTTTGGGTCCTGTGGAACTGGTGCTGAGAATGGAGCCCGGGTCCTCTGGAAGAGCTGGAAGGGCAGCCTGTGCTCTTCACCTGAGCTGTCCTCCAGCCCCGCTGTGCTGTTTTCGAGGCAGTGTCTCACTAGGTATCTCAGACTTCCCTGAATTGAAGCCCTCCTTCCTCAGCCTCCCAAGTGATGGGATTGCAGGTGTGCCTCTACATCTGATCGTAAACTACTTTAGACAGGAGCACACTCAAAAATTCTAAAGAGTATAGCGTAACGTAGTTATATTAGTCACTTGGCTTAAGGGAGGCCTTGTTTTGGCTTGTAGTTTGAGGTACGTCATGACAGGGAAGGCATGGAAGGCATGGCATCAGGAGCGCGAGGCAGGGGTCACGTGGCACCCACGGTCAGGAAGCAGCGGGAGACACGCTGGTGCTCAGCTCACTGCCTCCTTTTCATTCAGTGCAGGGTCCCAGGCCATGGGCTGGTGCTGTGCAGCCTGCACGTAGGGTCTTCACACTTGAGTTTACCCTGTCCAGACACTCCCTCACAGACGTCTCCACAGGTCTGTCTCCTAAGTAATTGTAGGTTCTGTCAAGTTGACAGTATTAACATCACAGTCATTATTATGATTGTCAAATACCATATATGTGCTGTATAGCTATTGTGTAGCTATTAATGTACTCTGACTTGTTCATGTGAGTATCACTATGAGTTGAGTCATGTGTTGCACTGTAAGTTAATATAGCCATGAAGTTCGACAGCACTAGGAAAATTTGATGCCTTCATGATTTTAGGGAACTCTTGTATTAGCTGTCACTGGCATTAGGCAGTCATCATTAGGCAGCACATGGCTGTGTACAATAGTCTTAAGAAGACCAGAGGACACAGTGTTAATAATGCAATAACAAGGATTCTACTTTTGTCTTTTTACATTTATTTTTATTATGTGTGTGTGTGTGTGTGCGCGCACTTGTGTGTGTTGTATGTGATGGTGAATGCAGTGCCTGCAAAGGTTAGAGGCATCGGATCTCCCTGGAGCAGGAATTAGAGATGGCTGTGTGCCACCTGATATGGACGCTGGGAATGTGGGGCCTCGGAAAGAATAGCCAGTCTTTCAGGACCCAGTGGGAGACCCTGTCTCCACAAACAAGGTGGGCGCTCCGAGAAGCAGCCAGCTGTGTCTTCCACGAGTGCACATGCACAGAGTGCACATCTATAAATACAAACCCCACAATAGCAAGTAAATGGAGAGACGTGAAAGAGAAATGCTGTGCTGTATGCTGGAAGGTTCAGCCTAACTCAGCCGGTTCTCTTCACGTTCATATGAATGCACCAGCACCTTTAAAAGCATGAACGGCACAGGGCACCCAATATGAAACAGGTGATTTGAATAGATTGGTGACAACATTTCTGTCAGGTCATGGTGGAGTGTTCCTGCTCCCAGATTACAAAGGGCTGGCGGACAGTGTTGGGAACCTAGACGAAGACCTGCAGATCTGCCGTCTGTGGAGGGAGAAGGAGTGTGTCAGCAACTATGCAGGAGCAGTTGACAGTGTAGACAAAAAGAGACCTTGTGCAACACTACACCTTCACAGAAGCCAACCTAGAGTGGGCATGGGCTTAAGGGTTCACTTGTAAACTTGTAAGGGCATTGGAGGGCGACAGAAAATAATTCATGGTGTCAGAATTCTTAGATGACACCAGAAAAGATCCGTAACAGGAAAATTTCCAGACTTCCAACTGCAAAAATTTCAGTCTGTGTGTGAGGATGAAATAGCAGTAGGATGTTTTCTTAGCGTGCATAGGACCCTGGGGTCTGTCCTCATACCGTAAAAGGAAAGATGAGAAGCTAGGCTAGACTGAAAGGAAATATTTGGGAGCCACATATCTGACCAAGACTCGTATCTAAAACACAAGAAGCCCTTTGCAGATTGGAGTGAAAGCAGCGCGGTTGGAACATGGGCAGTGCAGAGACATTGCAGCGAAGGGAGAGGGGGGTGTGTAGGATGAAAGGATGTCTAGCAGTCTAGCTGCCAGGGAGATGCGACACACTGCTAAGAGAATGCCGAAAACAGAGCAGGTGGCAGCACCTGGCACTGGTGACGATTCGGAGTGTCCTGATGCCTGGAGGGAGTGGAGTCTGGCACTCCCTTAAAGCCTCAATGTAGTTACTCGCTACTGAACACTTCTTTCTAAGCTTTTATCCCACTGAGCTGCATGGTTTTATTTGTGTGAAAAATAGCACCTGCATATTCAAAGTAGGTTTTAAGGAGTGTGTGTATTCATGCCTCTGTGTGTGTGTGTGTGTGTGTGTGTGTGTGTGTGTGTGTGTGTGTGTGTGTGTGTGTGTCTCAAAGTCAGCCTAATCTATAGAGGAAGTTCCAGGCTACCTAAGGGTACGTAGTGACCTTGTCTACAAAAACAAAACAAAAAGCTGGGCGAGGTGATATACTCCTGTGATTCCAGTGAGTTCAAGGCCCTCCTGAGCAGAGACGGGAAGAGATGGATTATTGGTGATAACACTAATTTAAAGTGGCACATAGCCAGCTGGTTGTGGTGGCGCACACCCTTAATCTCATCACTTAAGAGACGGGCAGGTGGAGGGACAGTGAGTTCCAGGGCAGCCTGGGCTCACAGAGAAACCCTGTCTCAAAAAACAAAAACTAGCTGAATAACTAACTAAAGTGCTAAATAGCACAGGCAAGTAAAAGAGAAGAAGGAAAGAAAGAAAGCACGGACAAGGCAAATGCTTGGGCAGCGCAGAAAGAGGTGTAGAACAGGGAGGGATGGTCAGATACAATTGGTTGATTAAAAGGGGAAGCAGGGACGGGCATGGTGCCTCAAACCCCTAACCCCAGCTTTTGGAGGCAGAGGGAGGCAGTCATTATTAGTTTGAGGACACCATCATGGCCTGCATAGTGAGTTTTGGATCAGCCAGGTCTACGTAGTGAGATCCTGTCTCAAAAGAGTGTGTTGGGGGTCATGATGTAATTGCAAGATAATGTCTTAAAATGATTAATGAAAAAATAGCAGTATAGGGCTGGAGAGATGGCTCATTGGTCAAGAGCACTGACTTCTCTCTCCCAGAGGACCCAGGTTCAATTCGCAGCACCCACATAGCAACTCATAACGTCTGTAATTGCAGTTCTAGGGGACCCACACCCATGCCAAAATACCAATGCACATAAAATAAAAAGCAAATATTAAAAATGGACAACTCAGAAAAGAAAAGAAAAAAATAGCAATATAAACTCACTATTAAAAAAAAGGCATGTACCAGAGGGTAAGCTCTAGCAAGGCTAAAGTGGCTTCTAAGACTGTTCTAGTTGACTGGGTTGGTGGTTTTTATTTTAGTCTATAGACAATTAGTCTTTTTAATCATGTGCATTTGTTACTCTGATAAAATCAACACAAAATCTGCCAGTGGCAGGGAAATACTTCTCCCTACTTCAATATGGTCTCCCCCCCGAGACAGGGTTTCTCTGTATTGTTTTGGAGGCTGTCCTGGAACTCACTCTGTAGACCAGGCTGGCCTCGAACTCACAGAGATCCACCTGCCTTCTCCTGCTGGGATTAAAGGCGTGCGCCACCAACGCCCAGCTTTCAATGTGGTTCTTTAAGTAAGAAAATGTTTTAGGTCTTGAATGAATGTTGATAAAGGCCTTAGTGAGAGCTCAGTGCACACAGCAGCAGGGTTAACATTTGCACACACATTCTTAACGTGATCCTCACAAAACCGTCCTGAGGTGAAACATTTCTCATCATA